ATGTATGAATGTTTGTGCATTGTGACTATCTTTGTGTGTATGTGTGTGTATGTGTGTTTAGTGTGTGTGTGTGTGTGTGTGTGTGTGTGTGTGTGTGTGTGTGTGTGTGTGTGTGTGTGTGTGTGTGTGTGTGTGTGTGTGTGTGTGTTAGACTGCAGCCTGGGGCAGGACAGGTGGGACTGGTGGCAGTGCAGGCCAGGCGAAGCAGGGGACTGGAGTATCTCCTCTATCAGGGAGGGGAGCACTACGGCTGGTGGCAGCTGGTCCCTTCCCCCCCTCCCTGCTCCCCTCCTCCAGTACCCCGCGGGTAGGCAACAGGAGGGGTGAGGAGGTCAAAAGGCAGAAGAATGGGCGGAACGGCGACACGCAGGATAATCGGCTTTTATGAAGCGCAGAGAACAGAGAGGGCTGGTAAGCGCTGCTCTGACACAATGATACTGAGATGAACACTAATGAATTAACACATTAACACAGGACCAAGGGGCCTGCAGGTCGCCTCAGCTGCTCACACACAAACACACACACGCACACACAAACTCGCTAATGTACTCACTAATTAATTTAATTTGTCATTTGTCAAGGACAGCCAAATGCTTTTTGAAATGTGATGCTTTTTGAAACATTGGGGGTGTCTGGGTCTAAAAACGATGAGATACAGACAGACGGACAGACAGACAGACAGACAGACAGACAGACAGACAGACAGACAGACAGACAGACAGACAGACAGACAGACAGACAGACAGACAGACAGACAGACAGACAGACAGACAGACAGACAGACAGACAGACAGACAGACAGACAGACAGACAGACAGACAGACAGACAGACAGACAGACAGACAGACAGACAGACAGACAGACAGACAGACAGACAGACAGACAGACAGACAGACAGACAGACAGACAGGCAGACAGGCAGGCAGGCAGGCAGGCAGGCAGGCAGGCAGGGCAGGCAGGCAGGCAGGGATGCAGAGAGACAGACAGACACTAACCAAAGCCATGTGATACTCATTAATGTGTTAATGTTGATTCTCTTACATCTCAATCTGGTTCATCCTTTTCCTCTCCATCCATCCCTTTAATTCAGGATTGTGTGGTTACCTTCCTGCCCCCTTCCTCCTCTCCCTCCCCCTTTCTCTTTCTTTCTCGCTGTCTCTGTCTAACCAGCATGAAGAGGCAGCCATGCATTCAACCATCAGACAGGCAAATGTTACACACACAAACACACACTCACACACTTGATCTCAGCCAAACCCTATCCCTCCCTTTGTTTTTACAAACCAACAACACAATACTCAACAAATATCTCAAAATAAATGCTCAAAACATATACAATAAAACAAACATTTTCTGTGATTGGCTTTGTCTTCCAAAACGATTTTAGCCAATAGTAGCCTACTAAGGACTTTGTGCATTGCCCTGTACCCACAAGGGCAAAGCCCTTCCACCCCATAGTCCTGTGTTTCATGCTCGAACACAATGTAAGTCACAGGCAGGGTTATCCTCGTCCCCAAAGGGACTGGAGATCCCGTTCCACCCATCTCTGACCTATAGAATCATCCCACTGAGCATGTCAGCATGCAACACAATTCTCCCACTGGGAACACCAAACACTGAGCATGGAAAAGAGAAGACATTATCTTTCTCTTTCATTGTAAACAGAGATTTATTCTGTCAAGCAATGTAGGCTAATGTGAAATACCCCCAATAAATGTTGTATGACACAAGCTTCATTGATTGCTATAGCTGCCTGTTGCCCAATATACAGCACCAATGTCTTGGAGCTTAATATGTATATTAAATACTTTAAATATTTCATGAGGATGGCAGGAAAAGAATCGTTAGGAGAGGTAAAGTTTCATTAACAACTCCATTTGGCTGCGAGGCAATCTCGTCCTCTACTACTGTCACTTTTATTGCAATAAAACACATCTCTCGAGTCCCTCTCTCCTTCCTATCCCACACTCATCTCCCTTTCTCCCCGTCTCCCTCTCTTTCTACATATCATAATAAAACATTTGTAGATCCTCTTTAAATGCACTATTACTTATGGCTGCCTTTTCATATTCTAACATCACGGGCACTTTAGTGACGATAGAAAAACGCGTCATTCATTATTCAAAAGCAGCCGATCCTGTCCCTAAGAGAGAGAGAAGCCCGCTCGTGAAATTGATAACAGTGGAGACTCGTGCAATAAAGATGGAGCCCGCGGGTGCCACCAGCCCGAACCTCGATTATGCAGATCAAGTGGTAATTTCTCAAACAAATCGCACGCTTTCAGTCTTTTGTTCCCTTTTCTTTGGACTAGAGCATATCTCTCCAGAGAACCAGAATGCCAGCTGAATATATTGGCTTTGCAATTTTGCACGAGAATTGACGTTCTAACAGAGGGTCATTTAGAGGAAGAGAGCTCTCCAAAGTCAAGTGTTACGCCTATTACTCGACTAATAATTATAAGTGTTACAATTACTTTAGCCTACTATATTATTGGCATAGTTGTTTTTTTGTAACCACTATTATATAATTGTTGTTAAAGGCTTTAACATTTTTGTTAGAATGTAGGCATATCTACAGGGAGTCTTGGCTTGTTTCCTGATCTGTTTGTGCTCTTGCAAACTCCATTGCTGTCAATGTCAATCAAGCACACTCATATTTTTTATAAAGTTAATATGTTTTGTAACTATTAGCGTATTTATTTATTTCTAGTATTTTTATGATTTACTACAGCTATTGTTATTTTATAAACCTAATTATGATTTTATCATCCATACTGTGGGCCTATGATTTTTAAAAGCTTTCTCCGCAATGAAGGACATCCAGGGTACATCGGGGCTAATGTGACTGGGATAATCTGAGGATTACACCATCTTATTTACACCCACGACCCCTGGACCAACGCTCCCCGGTCCCCGTCCGATCATTCCATTTCCATTAGCGCCTAGCCTGTGCCACGGTTTCCGCCGTGTACCGAAATCCACAATGCAGCAAAAAGTACGAAAAATAGAGAGAAAAAACAGTGGTATATGCGTACAGATGTTCATATAAATCTAAATCGAATGTATGCAATCGAAATATATATATATATCAAACATATAATTTCATAGAATAAACCTATGAACAACACACACAATGAAAAGTTAGGATGATTTAAATATGAAATAGCCTGATAACTACATAGGCAGTAGCCTAAATGTGTACGGTGAAATGAGAGCTACTACAGTCCAATTCTTCTCCATGAAAATATGGCCACCAGCGTGGTCACATATGGCGGGGAAAACTAGCCAATTCTGCCAGTCCATATCGCTAAATAACCACCTCAAATTTTGGTTGTCTTTTGACACCTCGTTTATTCGTTTACGGACAACACATGTATTGTGAACTGCTTCAAAAATATTACTACGAAATAATTATTATTCATAGAGGAAATTCTACAGGATGAATCTGAAAACCTTAACGCAGTTTTGATAAGAAAAAAATATTACATGTTTAGATGGAACATTATAGCCTAGAAAAAAAATCAAGATAACCTCCATTTATTCGTAGAACAAATTCGATCGAGTTGATCATTTTGCATGTGGCCGGTAGGCTACCTATCTCATATTGCCTCATCATATGAATCATAAAAATAGTCTTATTCATTACAGTTACAGTTATCAATGCGTGTCAAAATTAAAACGTATTGCAACCCAAAATATAGGGTTCAATTATATATAGGCTAATAGTTACAAAAAGTGAAACCTGTGTTGAAAATCTTAAATATTCTAAATAAATTAAATGTTAAATAGTTGAAAGACTAGGCCTATATCAGTACCAGAGATGAGGACAGGAACCCATTTCAGCAAGGCTCTAGCCAGGGGTCGATGAACAGTTAATTGTGTCCCTCTTTTCATTGCGTCTGATGGGCAGCAAGTTCCAGCGACCATGCAGACCCTCCACTTCATCTGTACTAGCCCGTGGCCTCGTCACACAATTCCCTTTTATTAACAATTGATGTGGCACAGCCGGGGTGCACTGTGCACCATTTCCATATAGTTTAGGCCTTATAAGGACTTAAAGCATTATTCCTATTATAATTATTAATCCTGGCGTGTGTATGATATAACCCACTTGTTTACTTACAGAGGAGGAGTAAATTGTAGCTGTTAACAGATGCCCGTAATCATAACGGAGAGGGGATGCCTCGCATCTTCTATACCTCAAACCAATGGCCCTAACCAAGGACCACCTCAATCCATGACGAATAGAGAGAGACTCTTGTGTTAATACAGGACCTCTCGTGTTTCTCATAGAAAAAAATCAACAAGACGACTGAACTGCCTGCGTTCATCTCCACTACTCCATACTGGTCCAGAGAGAGACGCACAGCCCACAACACACGTAGCGTTGTGGACTGTTCTGCATATCACAGACATACCATAGAGAAAAGACAGGCATAAACAATAAAGAGACAAGAGCTATTGAGATAATCAAAGATAAAACGGTATATTATACAAATAGGAAACAGCAATAAGAAATATAAATATATGTAGGCCTAACTGTTGCAACTCTTGTATGTTATTTCAGTTCAATGGAAATATTATATTACAGCATACTGTATTTCCATGGAGACCGGGACAATGGTTACAAAATGGAGATTAGAAAACATGGACTCCGATCACCTTTTCAAAGCCTGTAAACCCACTATGTCAAGTGAATGATTGTCCAAACAGGTCAAATTAAAAGGTTTAGAAATCGATGCTCTGAAATCGCACTAAATTGTACCAACTCTGAGAGCTAAGAAGGAGTATGGTGCCAAATGATACCCACCATGCTTCAATCAGTCATTAAAATGACAGCCAATGAACAGTCAAGGCGTTGACAGCATCAACCAATAGAAACACAGGAATGGGGCTTTTTGGGGGGAAGCAGCAAGACCAAGATGTTTTGACGCAAGGAGTAGAGCGTCACAGATGTCTCCAAACGCACATTAAACTTTCACTGGCGCGCGGGAGGATGATCTGAAGGAGGCCTTTCCGAAGTTGCAGACCGTCGGATTTTAAAAGGAGGATGACATTGGAGCCAACGGCATCTTCTCTTTGGCATAAACCGTCCGTTTAACCTCTTAATTTAATTTCCATCCAGTCCAGCCATCCCACAGTCTATTGAAAGGTGAGGATGGAGCGCGCACCCAGCGCCCCAAGTCCTCCTCCCAAAGCAGCCCAGCACGAACCCATCAGCTTCGGTATCGACCAGATACTCAGTAACGGTGCTGACTCTGAGACCGGCCGGACCAGCAGCAGATACGGTTCGGATACAAGCAGTGGAGACGGTTACCGTTTGGGAAGCACAACTGGAGGGAGTGCTGCCACCTACACTGCGCTGTCCATCTCCCTCTCCGGCATGGTACCACAGTTAGAGGATCCTGGTTTGTACGGAGTGAACCATAGCCTGGGCAGCAGAGGAGTGATCCGGGTGCCCGCTCACAGACCGTTGACTACCTCGGGGCCGCCGCACTTGACGAGCGCTGTACCCGGGTATGGAGGCCTGTGTTACCCGTGGGTCGGGAATAGGTTCGCCAAGGACAGGTTATCAGGTAACTTTCCGATAGAACCCTTAGCATCAAATAATGTTATTGAAAAAAATACACAATTTCATGCGCAGTGATTTAGGTTATCTATTTGAACATCTCCCCGTTTCCCGTAATGGCAATTTTACTTTCAATGTGTTCAAAACAGCTTAGCTTACAATAAGCAATAAAAACTAAAATAATAAAAATGATGTGATTAATAAAATAACCATTCATTTAATCTTCAACCTTTTATGCATAAAACAAATCAGAAAATCTAGGTTTACATTTTAAAAATGTAGTCATTTAGCAGACTTGACCCATGCAATTTTACTGAAATTGTAACCTGTTTCGTTATTCTTCTTAACCATTTAGCCTATACTGTAGCAAGGAAAATCACACAAATATTGAATTGGTCTATAAAAAGATGGCCTTTTTTGTTAATTTTTGACCTATAACAACGAAGTGAGTGAGAAAAATCTCAGACAAATTATTTGGTGCTAGAAGACCCTAAACCCTAAACTGGAAGTCAATGAAAATGGAGGCATTTACAGAGAGATCAAATCAAATATAAAATATACTATTTTGGTTGATTTTACAATGCAATTTCAATCAATTATAGGCTACCGATTAAAAAGTTATTAACATACCACGTGAAATAGGAAAACATAATAAACAATGTTATTGTACCAATTATGTTGGGAGTCATTCTTTTCCACAGGGATTTTATTTTCACCATAGTTCACACCCAACAGTTTAGACAAAGACATATGAAGAACTCGAAAATATTCTCCCCAAGAGTGGTTTCCCATAGTGTGAATGTTATGCCATAATGCTATTGATCTATTTAATTTTTAATATTCCAATTCGGCACTCAGAACTGAACCCAAAATGATTAACTCCCTGTATTTACAAGGCTATTTCATGTGATTGTTTGTTCACGCTAGAGGAAGCAAGCCTAACTTGAATAGCCAGACAGGAATGATGGCTTTATCCACAGAAAATAATCGGATAAAATAAAAAGGAAGATTCACACATTTCAGGTGGGTTAGTCGATGTAGGCCCAAACAGAACTGCTCGGTTTTATGCAGGCGTCAAAATCAACCAATATGATAAATATTATTCTGTTCTACTACTTTCTTTCTCCAAAAACATTTATACCCTAACCTTTGTTTTCGGGTGAGGATTATGTAGGCCCTACAAGTAGGCCTACTACCAAACCTTATGAACTGTAACGAAGTTGGAGGCTCACCTCACTCTTCCACTACGTAAACTCAACCTCCAGTCTGTCTTTCTGCTCTCTCCATCAGCTCTCGTGCCATTCACGGTGACCCGGCGAATAGGTCATCCATACCAGAACCGCACGCCACCCAAACGGAAAAAGCCTCGGACATCGTTCTCCCGTGTGCAGATTTGTGAGTTGGAAAAGCGCTTCCACCGGCAGAAGTACCTCGCGAGCGCGGAGCGGGCCACCCTCGCCAAGAGCCTGAAGATGACGGACGCGCAGGTCAAGACCTGGTTCCAGAACCGCCGGACCAAATGGAGGTCAGTTGATCCATGAGCTTACATGTTTACTCAAACCTTGAGTTTACCTCATAGAGATGGATAGAGGTATCTAGTGCCCAAAAGCCAGTTTTAGCATGTGCAGGCCATTGAGGACTTTCACCATTTTGAAGCAGTCAACTGGGTGGGACTTCCTAAGGGTTAAGGAAGGACCACATGATTCCATCCAGGTCATCAGGAGGGATCAGCCAATTAATTATACTAGTGAGCAAACATTCCATAACTGCAGATGGCACTAAATTGTCAAAACTTGGCTTTATACATTTTCAAACAACACACTACAGATGGCAGTATGCACCCTTTCAGTTTCTTTGCCAACTCATAGAAGTAGTAGAAGAAGAAAATATACAACTTCAAAATAGAGATGGCCTCAATGGCGCTGCCCATTCTCTCACAGACACCATAAATAGGACAGGTAAAATGAAGCGATGTCTATCTAAGTCTATGGTTTACCTCTTCATTTTATATGTTTTCAAATCTCATTCACCAGTCACTTCCGCTCATGCACAATTAGTCTGGGGAGGAGGTTAGTTTTCAGCTAGGCCTTAATGGGGACTAATCATTTTCGGGTTGTGTGAATGTATAATTGCAGAGGATTTTAAACTAAAGGAAAACAGACTCAGGCTGTTCTTACCATCATGTTTGTTCCTGGCACTGATTTCAATTCCTGGTTCTGTCTTAAAAGGAGACATACTGGTGGTAGGCCTACAGGATATTCCTATCGTTTTTTGGGAAGAAACATTTGGGATCTACCAGCTGGTTCCAGTTGCCTAGTGTGCTTATTATGGGATTGTTCAGGAGAGTCGCTATGATCTATGTACTGTGATGCCAATTTTTACACTTGTGTTATAAGAAAAAGTAAGCTGTAGATGAATATGGAATGTTGAGGTGGTTTATAAATGTCCACTATAGGCTACTTAAGTGTGACCATTGCTGAATGTCAACATATAAATATATTTTGTTCATATTTCGATTTTATGCAATTAATCTCTCTCTTTTTGCTCTCTCAGGAGACAGACAGCGGAGGAGAGGGAGGCTGAGCGGCAACAGGCCAATCGGCTGATCCTGCAACTGCAGGCCGACGCCCTCCACAAGTCCCTCAGCGAATCAGCAGGCTCCGACCCACTGTGCTCACATAACTCCTCCCTGTACGCCCTGCAGAACATGCAGCCCTGGGCCGAGGAGAGGGAGTAGGAGGAAGTCTCCCCTAACCGCTGATCCAGGGTCGCATATTTGTTCATCCGTCCAATTGGGATGATCTGATCTGATCCTAGATGATTTGTTGGTGCCAAAATGGAGGGTATGGACAGTGTGATGCCCCTTTGAGACTGTGTAGAGACTAGGTGTCTTATAGGACTACACCCTCAACCTGAATGAGTGACTGTACTGTTGACATTACACAAGCACCGTTACGAGTTTACACAAGTGTTTTTACCCCTATCTGGCCTTATGTTACATTCCACACTTTGACTCTATGGCTAAAGACTGAGGTTGTAGACTAAAGAGAGAGGGAGGAAGAGGGGGAGAGAGAGGGAGGAAGTGGACAGGGGGGAAGAAGGATGCATGTAATGTTGGTAATACAACTAAAACACACATCCTCAAATGTTTCATTTGGGACACATTTCCTATGAGGATGTAAATGTTTCATAATTTGTACTTGGGATGTATAGATATGTAAATAACGATATAACCTCTTCACTTGAGAACACTTTGTTTATGTTGTTTGTGACATACAGACATGAATGGAAAGCTTTATTTTAGTCACAGCCTCTCTCCCTTGCTAAAGAAGACACTTCAAACGTCACTACTTTCTCTGAAAAGTTTATTGTTAAATATCATTTTGTACAACATTTCAATATACACTGATGTGATTTCTTTTTTTCTGTCTGTCATTCTCTGTCTGTTAGTCTCACCTTCCTGTGCTTTGCTGATCATGAATCTTGATATTGTATAAAAGTATAGGTGACGGTAAGGTAATAGGTGGCTGTGAAATAAGGGATTCTGTGTTTTGTTGTCAGTAAGTCTTCACATTGATTAGGCTATTGTCATCATCACCCATGGGTCATGGCTTTCATTCCCTGTATTTCTAGTGAAGGTATAATGAGGCTCATCTATCGAGCCGTGTATACGAGCGTCGAATATAGAGCAGAGCGCTCTCGCATGATGCTCCGACAGAGAGAGAGAGATCTATGCTCATCTCATGCTGCTCTCTCTCTATAGCATCTCTCTCTCTTCTCTCTCTACTTCTCTCTCTCCTCCTCTCTCTCTCTCTCTTCACAGTGAGTGGTTGGGTATTGTCTTGAGAGTTGTTACTGTACAGTCGTAATGTCCCACAGGATACCACGCACACACCCATATTGGCACAAAACAAACATAAGAATACACTTCAAAATAGTGCTGAGCAATTAGTGCTTTTTGAAGCCTGTTCAGTTTTGGTTTGTTTTTGGAAAAAGAATCACGGTTTTCAATTTAGGTTAATTTTTTTCATATTTTTTTAAACAATAAATGCATTATGTGTTCAATGCTGTAACAACAATGAATAAAACAATTGACAGTAGTGAGTGACAGCCTATAACTATCAGTTATTAGAATCTAACCATAATTTATTCACATTACTTTACTTAAATATTTTGGTTGTGTATATTACATATTTGTTTTTAGTATGGTGATGACTTTATTATTTCATTAATAAAATCCCAATGATGGTAGTGACTGGCCATTACTGCATATCACTTTTCAACAAACCATTCTTTATTCACATGACTTTAATAAAATATTTCAATTGTTGTGTATATTTTTATTTTTATTTGATGACTTAATATTTTATTCCAAGTCATCATCTCATCTCTGCTCAGGCAGTAGCAGCCAGCCAGCCATCTATCTCTGTGCTCCCCAAAGAGTCATCCTTCAGGATAGTAGGTTATCCTAGCTGGCTAGCTGCCTGCTGTCTGATGAAATCACTTTTTAAGTAGTTATTTCAAGTAGATAAGGCATATTTTTAACACTGCTAAATAACAACTATCAATCAATTAGATGTATTGTCGGGTAGAGATACCCAGGCAACCGCTTTCTATCACTCTCCTATCTCTCTATCGCTCTTCCTCAGTGTCTGTCTGTCGGCCCACAGGCTTGCCAGGCAAAGAACCAATGAGAACAGGCAGCTAGCTGTAGGCAATGGATTCTGGTCATTGTAGTTCATTACCACGTTTTCGGCGCTTAACTCTGATGAGTTGGACAACATGTCCCAGACAGAAATCTCTCTAGAGAAATGGCACAAATGACGCACAGGAAAACCCCCGAACTAAATGGAATTCAAATAATTGAACCACCGTCAGTCAATTAGTTATTTACAAACAAAAAATAAACAAAAAATGTCGGTTAATCGCTCAGTGCTACTTCAAAATTGGACGTAATACGTTTTTACTATTGTATATTTCTGTCATAGGCCACAGAACATCCAATCCAGGCTCTGTGGGCAGGAATATCGTCTGGCCAGATTGATAGACAAAGAGACAGGTCAACAGAGCTCAGTGCAGACAGAAAGATAGAAGCCAAAAACACAATGACACAAGGCACAACAACACGAAAAACATTGACTAACACTAACACTAACACACAAAGTAGGAGTGGTGCATTTAGCAGGGTTAGGACTGACTTGGTTTAAATGTATATTTCTTAATATGTTGCAGTCAAATACAGATCATATGAATTCTACAAATGAAAATGCACAGGAAATGTACTTAATGTGTATTTGTAAACTGTATTTGTGGTGAGACTGAGGCCAGGATTCAATCCAAGGTGTGTTATTGAGCAGCGCACTGACTGCCGACAATGCAACTTTTAAGGGCAACTTCCCCAACGTTCGCGGAGATTGCTTTATAGTGCGCCTCGGATTGAATCCCGGCCTGAGACAGTGTAGGTATGTGTGTATGTCTTAATCTGTGTGTATGTCTCTATAATGTCAGTATGTCCATTAACAGGTGTTATATACACTCTCGGAGAGAACAGTAACCATAACAACAATGTCAACATCAACAGAACAAGACTGAGAGAGGTCGGACCAGGGGTGAAAGGTTACAGGGTCACAGGAAGATCAAAAACAGGTACAGGGGGTCAGAGGTCAATGGGAAGGGTCATAACCCAGCCTGTTGATTGGTCACTGCCATGGTAAGGTGATGGTGAGACACTGTGCCACATGACAGATGCATATAGCTGTTGCTGGGCGGCCAGTGTTGAGTACCTCTCATAACCATGGTGACAACAAAGTTTATGTGTGTCCCTTTTTGCCATTAAATGGCGGGCTGCTCTTCCTTCTCACAGTTCAAAGGTCTCTTCCCATCCCTCTTTCATTTTCCCACTGTGTCTCTTTTCCTCTCCTTTTCTCTGTTTCATCTATATGACGTTTTCGAAAAGCTGCAGGGACCTCATGATGTTTTCATCCTGGAAAAGAAAGTATGAAAAAAATGAGAAAACTGATCAGGAGGAAAATAACAGTAACACCTCTGAACTTGCACATACAGTGCTCAGTGGAGTCCTCTGACTGCATCATATAAGTACCACTAGGGGGCAACAAAGACTTAGAAGAGGTTAAAGCAGTTTAAAATAGAGTACCACATTATGAGTCATAATACCCATAAAACCTAGCAGTCAAAAAAGGAAAGGGTTCCAATCATTTTTCCACCATTCATTTTTCCCATAGGGGATTTTAGAAACTGAAAATAAGGGCTGTGTTTTGTGTAGGCTTACCCTGGCATGACGTTTTGATAAGCATGTAAATCTCTAGGACAAGGTGACTTTAATCAATATATTGACCTGTATTTATCCCCCAAAAAATGAAATGTTAATTAGCTGCTAACGTGGCTATCATAATGTACTACAAATGCCATGATGAGCTCTGGGTGCCCATGCGCCTGTCATCGAAATAATTTTGACAGTAACCCTCCAAAAAGTTGTTCATAAACCTTTTTAATTTCCATATGTACTAGGAAGATAAGTGTTTGTTTCTTGGGCTTCAGGAATGTGACTGAAAAAGTGCCTCAGGCCTTGAAAGGGAAAAAAAATTAACTTATTGAAAGGGGATATCGGTGAAAAAATGCCCACGGTTATGACCGCGCCAGTGCCTGGAGCTTACTCAGGTGTTCAAAAGCGCATATCAGACCGAGAGCATAATGCTTATTAATTAGTTATTTATGAGTTTTAGTTTAGAAAATAATCTCTCCACAGAAGCAACAGTTACAGGGATGGTAAAAACAGCTTGAATACCATGACAACATCAGGTAAACTGGGCAGGAGGGAGCTGTGCTTCTAATACAGCAGTTCTGCAACATCTTTAATTGAGCCTCTCATTCTCCTTAATTGCCGGCCTCAAGAAAGGGATTAACTGTATAAGAAGCTCTGTGGACAGGTCATCTGGATAGCCAATACATTTGCAGATACAAACATATGATCATCTTTAGAGGACAACAGTTCTTGAGGGCTTGAACAAAAAAAGCAGTTTGCGATTTCTTTCATACTGGTAAACCGGCGTTTGAGTTGTGTGGTTGAAATATCAACAGTCCCTTATCTCTGGTATAGCTTGGCATGCATCATTCAAAAATAAGTTTAAATTGTGTGCAGCGCCATGAGCATATAATGCACAACGTCTCAGGAAAGACTGTCTGGGTTGGCAATACTCAGTATAGGAAACAGTCGGGCGCGCAACCTGGACCTACAGGCGGTGGTGAAAACATTTGCTCACAAAAATGCAAGGCGACGCAGTCGCATACTGTAGCTACTATAGGCCTCTACATAAAAAGAAAAGAGAGTACAGATATACAAATATACTTTATTCTAAGAGAAAAAAATAGAAAAAGAGACGCAGACAGAGAAAGCAAGGATGACTTCAGGAGACCAGGGGAGTCTCTCAAATTGGATGACATTTTATTTGATTCAATTTAATTTACCTTGAATACTGCAGCCCATTTGTGTAGGTTATTAGCCAGACAAAACCCGCTGAGTTCAACAATAAACAGCCGCAGAATTTATCCTCAAGCCTACTACTTTTTCCCTAATTGTTATAAAACGTTTATAAATAGCAGCTAAATACGGTATATAGCTATAAATAGTAGGCTACACTGCATAATGAATCCGTCCCTAGTAAGCTAGTGTTTTGAGGGTGGACTGACTGTATTATTAGGCATTAATAGACTGGTTTTAAGCACAACAATGTTCTATCCAAGCTGGGAGAGAGCCCGAGGATGGCTCATGTCATGCAGCTTCAGGTAGGCTATACAGGACAGCTGTATATTAAAACAAAAATAAATTCGTAGCTGTTGCATCGAACATTTATTTTACAATCTGCAATTTTTGAATTTCCAACTTTAATTACTGAACAAGTAATTACATTATTTTCACCAGCCAGCAGTTTAAATGGAAGGATTGCGACACCGTGTATATCGCTTCATGACATTTTAGGCTTAACATGAGAAAATTACAACCAAATAGGCCTACCAATAAACATTTATCCATTAGCTAAAGCAAAGCTAAAGGCTACATGCCCTGGCACCACAGAAAGCCTATCGATTCAATAGGCAGCCGCATAGACATGTAGACAGGCCTCCTGTAGCTCAGTTGGTAGAGCATGGTGCTTGCAACGCCAGGGTTGTGGGTTCGATTCCCACGGGGGGCCAGTATGAAAAATGTATGCACTCACTAACTGTAAGTCACTCTGGATAAGAGCATCTGCTAAATGACTAAAATGTACAAATGGAATGTAGCAATTTCAGCACCATGGACAGTGATCGGTAGTCTATACTTTGTGAGTGGCTGTCTGGCTGACGCATAAAAAACAAATTAGTGGGGGGGAATCTGACCTTGCTGGGATCCAGAGAAACTGCGTTATGGCAGTGCTGTGAGACCAATGGCTCTGGTCTACTTATTGCTCTCTCCACCCGCCCCGCCATACCAGAAAAAAATGAGGGAATGGGGTGTCTCGCTTTCTCTGCCCTGTCTGGTAAAGTGTAAAGACCAACAGAAGGGGAAAATGATAGTGTAGGATTATTTTCTAAGTTATATTATTTTCTAAGTCACTGTTGTGTAGTTCTAAAATAACAAACTACTCAAAAGTGTTTGGAATTGTAATGATAATTGATTATCGACTACGTTGCTCTATTCTGATTGGTCAAATGTTTGTTGATGGTTGGAAGAGTACAGGAAGTATTTGAGTTGAAACGTGCAGTCCTAATGGCGGTGAAAATGGTCAGTTGATCATTACATTTGCATAAGAGTAATCAGTCTCCAGCCAGTATTCGTCTACATAGAGAGTGATCCATCCACCATCTAAAACCCTCAAACTACAATAGTATTAGACAGGATTAAGTGGGAGGGATGTTTAAGGATCAAATCTAATTTTATTTGTCACAACAGGTGTAGAATTTACAGTGAAAAGCTTACTTACAAGCCCTTTCCCAACAATGCAGAGTTAAAAAGTAAGAACTATTTGCTAAATAAAAAAAGGGAATAGTAAAACAATAAAATAACAATAATGAGGCTATATAGAAGGAGTACTGGTACCCAGTCAATGTGCAGGGGTAGGAGGTAATTGAGGTAATATGTACATGTAGGTAGGGGTAAAAGTGAGTAGGCAATCAGGATAGATAATGAGCAGAGTAGCAGCAGCGTATGTGATGAGTGTGAAAGTGTGTCTATGTGTGTGTGTGTGTGTGTGTGTGTGTATGTGTGTGTTGGAGTGTCAGTGTAAGTATGTGTGAGTGTGTGGGTAGAGTCCAGTGAGTGTGCATAGAGCCAGTGATAATCATATAACTCCAGATAACTCCAGTTTACCTCCTGGCAGGACAGAATGAACTCATCCAGAGTGACTACTCCATCTCTGTTCTTGTCCATCTTCTGGAAGAAAGCATCCACATGTTGTTTGGGAGTGTCTGTCTTCAGTGCTGGGTATGTATACTTCCCCATCATGTCATATATCGCTCTGACGATGTCTGTCATCTCCTGTAATACACACAAAAGCACAGTTTGTCTGTCAGTGGATGTTGAATGATGAAACAAAACACATCATTATTTAGAAATGTACTTCATACATAAACACACACACACACACACACACACACACACACACACACACACACACACAAACACCTCCTTGTTGATGTAGCCATCTCTGTTGAAGTCATACAGGTTGAAAGTCCACGTCAGCTTCTCCCTCACTGAACCCCTCAGTAAGATGGACAGAGCCATGACAAAGTCCTGGAGGAGGGAGAGAATGACAGAATGAGACACTGTCACAGGGACAACAAGAGGAAGAATGATCCAGCATGGAATACACAAAGGGCGAGTGATCTGAGAATTGTGAGAGAGAAAGAGAGATGGAGAGAGAGGGGGAGAGAGAGAGAGGGGGGAAATTGAGAGACGGCAGAGGAATGTTAACCTCAAACTTGATGGATCCGCTGTGTGCTGAGTCAAAGGCGTTAAACAGGTAGTGTGCGTAGGAACTGACATCTGCAGAGCATTGGAGAGAAGAGAGATTTGTGTTACTCTTTGTGCTTACACGACATATCCACTACACAAGTCAACACCTTTAAATGTTATGTAGACACAGACACAAACCAATTTCCTACCTCCATGGGGAAAGAACTGGGCATATATCTGTTTGAAGGTGTCCTCATTCACCACACCACTAGGGCACTCCTGCGGTGGAAATAGAAAGAGAGAAGAGAGAGAGTGAAAGACAGAGAGAAAAAAGAGAGAGATCAGCCACAGACAGACATCAGTGACAGACACTAAGTGATGAAGTAATGAAGAAATGGAGTGATATGGGTATATTGACTACATACGTTTTTGAAGCCACGGTAAAGGACTTGTAGCTCTCTCTTGCTGAAGTTGGTCTGAGCCTCCAGTTTATCCAGCCCTTCTGGCCGATGACACACAATGCTCATCTCAAAATCATCATCAATTTTATCTAGAGAGAGAGATATATATACTGTAGGTAGGTAGGTAGATAGATAGATAGATAGATAGATAGATAGAGAGAGAGAGAGAGAGAGAGAGAGAGAGAGAGAGAGAGAGAGAGAGAGAGAGAGAGAGAGAGAGAGAGAGAGAGAGAGAGAGAGAGAGAGAGAGAGAGAGAGAGAGAGAGAGCGAAAGAGCGAAAGAGCGAGAGCGACTGACCATCATCAAGACCCCAGAGGGGATTTACACAAAAGGTTGCATTTTCATCAGCTATAGAAAATAGAAATAGGTAGGGAGAGAGAGAGAGAGAGAGAGAGAAGGGGGGAAATAAAGAGAGGTTCAGGTAAGGGAGGGCACAATAGGACAGGGACGGAGCAGAGAGAGTAACAGAGAGAGAGGAGGGTAGAGAGAGAGAGAGAGAGAGAGAGAGAGAGAGAGAGAGAGAGGTCAGTGTAGAAATCCCTGTGTTGCGCCACCTCAGTGACCTGATCATTAACAACTCCTTACTGCCTCTGCCAGAGGGAAGGGGACCAGAGGACGGACGGATGGGCACACACACACACACACATGCACACACACTCCACCAGGCCATTTGGTTTCATCATGGTGGCAGAGCTGTCTCTGTCAGTAACTAATTAGTGAGAGGTGGAGAGTGCTGACTCTAGCCCAAGGTGAGGTAATTCAGACACAACTCACCTAGGAAGCCAAGTGACACATAATGCTACAGTTGCTCTGACAGAGGCACTGTTCAATGATACTGTACAGTCACACATTCACTGACACACAAAACCATCCTCACACAGAGGTAGGGTTGCAAAGCTACTGGTACTTTACCAAAGCTACTGGAATCTTCAGTAATTTTGGTAATTAACAGAAAATCAATGGCAATATATTGTAACTTTGGTCATTTATACTAACTATACTAATTTATATTAACTTAAAAAATGTATTCATGTATAGTATTCCTTTTTTGGTCCCGCTTTAAATGACGTGCAGCTTATAAAGGCTTCATAAACACTACTTAAATGTGTTACAAATCATTTATAACAGTATGCCATGCTTTATAAAGTGTTCATAAATGTGGCATAACCACCAATAACAAATGTGACATAACCCACAATGTCAAATATTACATAAACCTGTGCTTTATAAAGGGTGGCATAAGCACCGCTTAATAAAGGCCTTATAAATCATATTAAATTGAGGCTTCACAAAGCATTTATAACCCTGTCATGCATCTTGGTAGAGTATTGCAACGTCAGGATATTGGGTTCGATTCCCAGGATCACCCATACGTAAAATGTATTCACACATGACTGTAAGTGGCTTTGGATAAAGTGTCTGTTAAGTGTTATATTATATTTCACTAAAACATTTCTAGGATGGCCCAACCTCTTTCCCTCTTGGGTGCAGAGTCAATATTGGACCTGACCTCAACATCCCACAAAATGCTGTGCTGCAGGATGACATACACTCTAAAGTGTATGTCATGCACAGCAAAACATGTTGGTAGGGCCTTTTAAAATCAGTTTTTGCCCAAATTTCGTTTTCTTGGTTTTGTTTTTCCAGGTTTCGGATTTCCCCATTTTTTCTGGTTTACCACAGTTTGTTCACACTTTTTTGATAGAAAAACAACAGAATTAGATTTTTTGTGTTCACAACAATGCTTAAACCACATTAGGGGCTGACTTTTGAGGTCTGGGAAAAATCTAAGAAAGATTTCTTTGTGTAATTGCCCTTTAATTCAGTGAGCATGCCCTGCACTGTTGTTTGGTTAGCGGGTTTTCTGTAGTGCATTAAGTGCACATGTGAAGTGATTCAGCCGCCAATGGAATGGGGATACTCAATTTATTGTAGCCTCACGTGGAGGAAAGAGTGGCGGAGGAAGGACTTAGCTTCTGCTGCAGTGTTCATGGTAAAATATTACGCATTGTGGCTGTGCTTCGAGTAAAAGGCCAGCAACACTCTGTATTATTCAGAGCCCCATGAAATGATACCATATACAGACCCTACTGAGTATTCCCTAACATACTTTTACTGCGGCACCCAGAATTGTTCTTGCTGTAAGCCAATATGTATTCCATATACAGTGATTCGCACTGGCAGCATTTATTTGACCTTGGAACATGTTTTAAAACCCAAATGTAATGAAAATGTCACTTAAATATTAACAAATATGAATCATTGTTAATGTTTCAACAATTATTTTTCATATATCATTAATGGTTATTGACACTGAGTAAAGTATTTTTTATCGTCACTACTTAACACAGTCAAAAAGTTATAATTATGGCTAAACCCTGCCCATTTCCACAATGTATCTTCTTAAAATGTGATTTTAAACCTAACCCTAACTAATGAAGGCCAAGTTTGATGCGTTGGTCCACCTGACCTTCCGCACATTTGGGCGGAAGTGTCTGGGAACGAGATGAGGTGTAATGTGACTAACATGACATCACTTTAGAGCGTGTGTCATCCTTCAGCACAACATGTCACCCTTTATAAAGCGCATGTTAATATCACATTCGACACAGTGGGTTACGTCAAATTTGACATTGGTGATTATGTCACACGGTTATGCCACATTTATGAACCTTTTTATAAAGCATGACATACGGTTATAGATGATTTGAAAAGCATTTTTGTAGTGCTTATAAAGGCTTTATGAAGCCTTTATCAACTTAACCTAATTTAAAGCGGGACTCATTTGGATCTATCTGTGTCCATATTGTCCATGAGTTTCTAGTAGATAGGGTTAGGGTTCAAGAGAAAATAGACTAATTCATGAAAAAAGCATCTAATCAACATTTACATTTACATTTTAGTCATTTAGCAGACGCTCTTATCCAGAGCGACTTACAGTTAGTGAATACATATATTTTTTTATACTGTGCCCCCCGTGGGAATCGAACCCACAACCCTGGCGTTGCAAACGCCATGCTCTATCAACTGAACTACATCCCTGCCGGCCATTCCCTCCCCTACCCTGGACGACGCTGGGCCAATTGTGCGCCGCCCATGAGTCTCCCGGTCGCGGCCGGCGGCGACAGAGCCTGGATTCGAACCAGGATCTCTAGTGGCACAGTTAGCACTGCGATGCAGTGCCTTAGACCACTGCGCCACTCACTCAACAATGGTATTATTTTCAATTACCTCTGCAACTCGTCCAACTATTAACTTTTTTCAACAAGTAAATACATATTGACATAGTGTCAGGGAAAAATTAACGTATTTACCTGCTTTGTTGATTATTTCTGTATGAATATTGATCGATCTCTTTCTATTGCTAGGGGATTTCTTAACTACCAATGCTGTGCTTTTCATAAGGATGGTTCCCTCTAGCTCCCTGCAGCTGGTCTGGGTGTTTCGTCAAGGACATGGTGTGACTCGAGTTTAGAGATTAACAGAACAGACCTGTATTGTCTCCCCTCATCTTTGCTTCTGTTCAACTTGGTCACACGGTCAAGAGAAAGAGCCTCTGAGAGTGACCACAGTTTTTCAGTTCATCCTGTCTTTTACTATCTTACAAGGGCACAGCTATGTGGAGATATGAGGTGAAACGGAACTAACTTTATCACTTGCTCATGCGCTATGACCCGATACACATAGCCACAAGAAGAAAACAAGGTAGCTTATGATGCCCTGAGCTGCCGGGGAGGGGTGGAACCAGCCATGACTAAGCATTTTTAGGTCCTCTATATAAGACGTCAGCATTTCCTGTATCGTTGGGCTCTCAACGAATCACATACGGATGGTCGTTGACCAGCTCCATTATTGCAATAATTAATCGATATCAAATAAAGATGAATTGTTTGAAGAAATGACAGTCTCTCTCACTTGATTCGAATTTCCACGACAATAGTAAAATAAATAGAAGTGTGTAAAAACAATATATTTCATGCTGAAACATTCATATTAAACACAAAAGGTATTCAATAAATGTATGGTTTATATTTAGGATCATGTTTTACAGCTTTGTCATTCTATTTTCATCTTATTTAATTATTTAACATATTTGACATAAGGCCAGAGAGAAGACCAGAGAGAGGGCCAGAGATAATTACAGACACCTACAGTGCATTCGGAAAGTATTCAGACCCCTTGACTTTTTACACATTTTGTTATGTTACAGCCTTATTCTAAAATTGATGAAATTACACACAATACCCCATAATGACAAAGCAAAACAGGTTTATAGAAATTCTTGCACATTCATAAAAAATCAAAAACGTAAATATCACATTTACATAAGTATTTAGACCTTTTACTCAGTACTTTGTTGAAGCACCTTTGGCAGTGATTACAGCCTTGAGTCTTCTTGGATATGACGCTATAAGCTTGGCACACCTGTATTTGGGGAGTTTCTCCCATTTTTCTCTGCAGATCCTCTCAAGCTCTGAGAGGTGGACTCCAATCAAGTTGTAGAAACATCTCAAGGATGATCAATGGAAACAGGATGCACCTGAGCTCAATTTCAAGTCTCATACTAAAGGGTCTGAAGACTTATGTAAATAAGGTATTTCAGTTATTTTTAGTTTTACATTTAGCTGTCATTATGGGGTATTGTGTGTAGATCAATTTTAGAATAAGGCTGTAACGTAACAAAATGTGGAAAAAGGGAAGGGGTCTGAATACTTTCCGAATGCACTGTATAATGATCTAAAGTCACCAAAAGGACGACTAGATTACATAAAATCCTTCAAAAGATACAAACATTCTGGTAGTTTACTTTGAAAGCTTCCAGTAATATACCCTCCCTTTGCAACCCTACAACAGCAGGCAAAGGAGATTCATCTTTCGTCTCCATATCTCTCTCATCTCTCTAGCTAGAGCGAGAGAGATATATCCTGCGGAGAGAGGCGAGATCGAATCGCTCGAGAAGAGGGATGATATTCTCTGCTCTCAAGACTATCGTCGCTAGCTAGATAGAATCTAGATAGTCCCATATCGCTAGACTCTCTTCTCGCTCTCTCTCTTCTATCTCTCTCTCTCTCTCTCGTCTCTCTACTCTCTCTCCTCTCTCTCTCTCTCTCTCTCTCTCTCTCTCAGCCTAACGTCCACACCCAGTCCACACCCCCATAATATTACAGCAATAGTCATAGAAACCAATACTAATTTCTGTCTTCTATTCAAATGAAAAAAAATATTTGCTCAGCGGGCTAACATGGTCAAGAGACACAGACTATCCGGGTTGATATCCTGACAGATTCAGTATAGTAGTAGTGCCAGTGGTAACTACTCACCCTCAACATGGATGACCCCCAGAAGGTGCAGTAGTTTAACCGCCCCACATATCAGAAGCATAATAGCTATGATATGGAGACTGCTCGCCTCATGTTCTCCATCCTCATTATCCATTTATCCTTTATCTATCTCTATACCTATCAGGTCTACCTCTGTTTTTTCTTCCTGTTCTCCCTTCTCCCCCTGCTCTGGCGGTACTTATCTAAACTTTCTATAGAACTTATCCCACCCCTCTCTCTCCTTCCCCTCTATCTCTACCTCTCTCCTCTCACTGACTGCAATCACTATCACTCTACCCGCCTCGCTCTCTCTCTCTCTATCTCTCCTCTCCGTATCCCCCTCCCTAGGGCATCTCTTTCTCTCCCCCTAACCTTCACTCCATGCCTGTGACCCTCACTCCCCCTATCCCCAGTTTCTCACTATCCCTCGCTCTCATTTTCTCATTCCCTCCCTCTTTCTCTCTGTTTAGTAATAGAATGTCCTTCACTCTCAGGATGGACCCCACCTCCAGGGTGAGAGCTGAACCGCTGAACCTACCAGGACAATGATACACTCACCTTCAACCTGCCAGCTGTGTGTGTGTGTGTGTTGATGAAGGAGCCTCATTAAGAGGTGACGTCACGCTGTACTTTACATCACAGAGCTGTGCTTAACTTGCTTGAAAATTACTTTGCTAAACTGACATTATATCCATTCAATGATACACAATTACAATAGACACAAGTTATTGTCCCCCATGTAAACCAACCAGTGACACCCAAGAGTTATTATTTTTTTACCTAGAAATTACATCCCACTGTCTGAATAAAGTAAAATCAACTTGCAGTAATCAAATTGTACCAGTAGAGGGAGGCAGACTGTCCACTTCCTCCTTTCATATTGGTCTAATGGTGTTTTTTCCAGAACCTGTTCAGCACACTGAACATGACAAAAGCAAACACTCCTGGAATCTTGTCAGGGTTTCCGTACAATGGAGTGGGCAGTAGGTAGCCTAGCGGTTAAGAGAGATGGGACAGTAATTAAATCCCCAAACTGACTAGGCGAAAAATTGGTCAATGTTCCCTTGAGCAAGGCACTTAACCCTACTTGCTCCTGTAAGTCTCTCTGGATAAGAGCGTGATGTATATGAGTGTATACGTCCCTATTCTTCTCTCGTTCTATTGAAACTGATCCCTCATCTTCCGTATGAGACACTTGTTTGCATAATCTGAATCAGCCTAATCTGGCAACGGCTACAGCTGCCTCTCATTTGTCATTTAACAGTGAGGAGCGCTCTCTAAGAAGCATAACCACTACTCTGACATCACAATACTGAGCAGGTACAGTGCCTTCAGAAAGTATTCACACCCCTTGACTTATTCAAAATGTTGTTGTGATACAGCCTGAATTTAAAATGGAATATATTGAGATTTTGTGTCACTGATTCACACACACAATACCGCATTATGTCAAAGAAATGTTTTTAGAAATGTCAACAAATTAACACAAAATAAAAAGCAGAAATGTCTTGAGTCAACAAGTATTCAACCCTTTTGTTGTGGCAAGCCTAAATAAGTTCAGGAGTAAAAATGTGCTTAACAAGTCACATAATAAATTGCAATGATAGTGTTTAACATGATTTTTAAAGTACCCCATCTTTGTACCGCACACATACAATTATCTGTAAGGTCCCTCAGTTGAGCAGTGAATTTCAAGCACAGATTCAACCTCAAAGACCAGGGAGGTTTTTCCAGTGGTTCACGAAGAAGGGCACCTATTGGTAGATGGGTTAAAAAAAAAAGCAGACATTGAATATCCCTTTGAGCATGGTGAAGTAATTAATTACACTTTGGATGTTGTATCACCCAGTCACTACAAAGATACAGGCACCTTTCCTAACTCAGTTGCCGGAGAGGAAGGAAACTGCATTGTTTGGGGCAAATCCAACATTACTGAGTACAACTCTCCATATTGTTAAGCATGGTGGTGGCTGCATCGTGTTATGGGTACGCTTGTCATCGGCAAGGACTAGGGAGTTTTTTAGGATAAAAATGGAATAGCACTAAGCACAGGGAAAATCCTAAAGGACAACTTGGTTCTGTCTGCATTCCAACAGACGCTGGGAGACCAATTAACCTTTCAGCAGTACAATTACCTAAAACACAAGGCCAAATGTACGCTGGAGTTGCTTACCAAGACAACATTTAATGTTCCTAAGTGGCCTAGTTACAGTTTTGACTTAAATTGGCTTGAAATCTATGGCAATACTTGAAAATGGCTGTCTAGCAATGATCAACAACCAATTTGACAGAGCTTGAATAATTTTTAAAAGAATAATGAGCAAATATTGTACAATCCAGGTGTGCAAAGCTCTTAGGTCCCGATTCCGACCTGAGTTAAGCACGTAAATGGAACTTGGTTTCCCTTTTTGTGCGCTTTTCACTCTCTGCGTATTCTGACCATGAACTTAAGCGTGAGAAGAACATGCTATTTACCCACTATTCGTTTGAGGTGGAGCTCGAATAAATGAAGGCGTGGAGGAGGTGTGTCTACAGATATGCCGTATTCGGACCTTGACTTAATTCCCTTATAATTCCACCACGTTTACACACAAGGAAACAACGAATAAGGTCAAGCGAACCTGCCGGTTCCAAGTGGAAAAAGCATCTACTTTCTTTTTTTCAATAGAAATAACATAATTCTCCATGCACTGTAATTTATAAATTGATAAGCGCTATTGATAAGAGCTAGGTAAAGGTGTAATCTGTTTGGAGAAGGGGATTGTAAATACACATACCAATTGTTTTAGATTATTTTTCCTTGTGATCCCTGGGGATGCATGTGAAAACAGCCATATGGAAACAAACTGAAAATCATATGACGTAAAGCGTCCCCTTTTCCACAGTGAAATAGGATATAAATAGCTGTGCCGTTATTCCTCATAATTTGCGTGGATGAAATGTGGAGACCCAAGCTATAGGCTTCAGTAGGGCTGAACCTGCCAAGTTGATCTATGAGCTTTGTTTTGATTATATGCCTGGGCTTTTCTCCGTTTTATTTGACAATTTGTATCATGTTAAATATTATCCACTATCGGGAGCCACCGTCAGTAATTCCCACATACATGTTTTTTTGCATCATTCCATTCCGTTTACCTTTCTTACCTCTGTCACATGGTTGTCACTTGTTCCTGAGGGTTGCTAGCATTAGTGGATCATATTAGGCTAACGTTGTGCAATAATTTGGGACATGTAGCCTATTTGTATCATTATGGAACTCAGACTACACATAGCAGGTTAAACCTGGAGCCTGGCACACAGTTCATGACGACTGTATCGTTGTCGTCAGTTCCATGATTAGTGAGGATTAGGGTAGATTTATAGGATTGTTATTCAACTCTTATTGTACACCTTTTTCCACCTTCCAATATTTCATGAATTGAACTTGAATATGACAACTTTCAGGATGAATCAAAGCACTGTACTTTTTATTCATCAATATATTTCATGTGTAAAGGCTCTTCAAACCATTTTTTATATTTTTTATTCATACATACCTAACCATAAATATCAGAGTATTTTTTAAACTACCAGTGCTGAAACAGAGACGAATATGCATAGATGGCTTTCTTTCATTGAGCCCTATATTCTGACCCTGTTTTCTCAATGTATTCTATTGAGTCTGTCGACAAAATTGTAATTAAAGGTACACCTTATTTAAAGGGATGGCTTAAGGTACTGAAAACCCCATTGAATGAAAACTCCATGAGAATATCTGTTGGCCAACTAGTGGGAGGGTTTTCAGCGGTTGAATGAAATGTATTCAGAGCACGCAAGGTACAGTGCATTCGGGAAGTATTCAGACCCCTTGACTTTTTCCACATTTTGTTACTTTACAGCCTTATTCTAAAATGGATTAAAAAAAATAAAAAATCTACACACAATAACCCATAATGACAAAGTTATAACAGGTTTTTAGAAATTTTAGCAAATGTATTACAAATAAAAAAACAAGCCATGAGGTCGAAGGATTTGTCCGTAGAGCTCCGAGACAGGACTGTGTCGAGGCACAGATCTGGGGAAGGGTTCCAAAAAATGTCTGCTGCATTGAAGGTCCCCAAGAACACAGTGGCCTCCATCATTCTTAAATTGAAGAAGTTTGGAACCACCAAGACACCTCCTAGAGCTGGCCGCCGGGCCAAACTTAGCAATCGGGGGAGAAGGGCCTTGGTCAGGGAGGTGACCAAGAAACCGATGGTCACACTGACAGAGCTCTAGAGTTCCTCTGTGGAGATGGGAGAACCATCCAGAAGGACAACCATCTCTGCAGCACTCCACCAATCAGGCCTTTATGGTAGAGTGGCCAGACAGAAGCCACTCCTCAGTAAAAGGCACATGACAGCCCACTTGGAGTTTGCCAAAAGGCACCTAATGACTCTCAGACCATGAGAAACAAGATTCTCTGGTCTGATGAAACCAAGATTGAACTCTTTGGCCTGAATGCCAAGCGTCACGTCTAGAGGAAACCTGGTACCATCCCTACGGTGCTGTGGGGATGTTTTTCAGCGGCAGGGACTGGGAGACTAGTCAGGATCGAGGCAAAGATGAACGGTGTAAAGTACAGAGAGATCCTTGATGAAAACCTGCTCCAGAGCGCTCAGGACCTCCAACTGGGGTGAAGGTTCACCTTCCAACAGGACAACAACTCTAAGCACACAGCCAAGACAATGCAGGAGTGGCTTCGGGACAAGTCTCTGAATATCCTTGAGTGGCCCAGCCAGGGCCCGGACTTGAACCCGATTTAACATCTCTGGAGAGACCTGAAAATAGCTGTGCAGCAACGCTCCCCATCCAACCTGACAGAACTTGAGAGGATCTGCAGAGAAGAATGGGAGGAACTCCCGAAATACAGGTGTGCCAAGCTTGTAGCGTCAAACCCAAGAAGACTCAAGGCTGTAATTGCTAACAAAGATGCTTCAACAAAGTACTGAGTAAAGGGTCTTAATACTTATGTAAATGTTATATTTCAG